TCTCAGCAGTGGCAGAGATGCTAAAGCTCCAGGCTGGCTCTCCTACAGCATTAAGTTTGGAGGATGGAAACATGTGGTCCTCATGAGGGTCAAGAAGCTCTTGGTTTCCAGACACCTCCTGGTGTTTACCTACACGGACCAGCATGCCCTCAATGAGGATCAGCCTTTTGTTCCTGATGACTGCTTCTATGATGGTTATGTGGAGGGGGTACGGGAATCCCTGGTTGCTCTCAGTATCTGTTCTGGGGGCTTTCGAGGAATGCTACAGATAAATGACTTTGCTTATGAAATTGAACCCATAGGGCACTCTACCACATTTGAACACCTGGTTTATAAGATAAACAACAATGACACACAATTCCCACCTATTAGATGTGGCTTAACAAAGAAGGCAATAGCATACCAACAGATGGAATTTAAAGAGGCTAAGAAAAAAATTCTGAAACAAATTTCTACTGATAACCAAAGGATCCACTCATGGTTTCTGGAGCTGGTTGTGGTGGTAGATCAAAATTTCTTCATTTACTCCCAAAGTAACTTCTCAAAGGTGCAGGAAGATGTATTTCTTGTTGTTAACATAGTGGATTCCATCTATCAGCAGTTAGGTACTTATATGATTTTGACTGGGATTGAGATTTGGAATCATGGAAATGTTTTCCCAATGATAACCATAGAGCAGGTTCTGAAGGATTTTGCTCAGTGGAAACAAATCAGTTTTCTCAGCTACAGTACTATGCTGCACATATTTTCATGAAAAAATGCACTTATAAGTACACTTGGTATAGCCTATGTTGCAGGAATATGCCGTCCTCCTATTGATTGTGGAGTTAATAATTTCCAAGGAGACCCCTGGTCCCTTTTTGCCCTCACAGTAGCCCACGAGTTAGGCCATAATTTGGGTATGTGGCATGATGAAGAATTCTGTTTGTGTGGGCAAAGGGGTTGCATCATGAACGCTGTCAGAGTGCCAGCAGAGAGATTCACCAACTGTAGTTATGCGGATTTTGCAAAGACCACTTTAAACCAGGGATCATGTCTGCATACTCCTCCAAGTCTAGGGGAAGTCCTTATGCTGAAGCGCTGTGGGGACGGTGTGGTCGAAGGAGAAGAGGAGTGCGACTGTGGATCTGTAAAGCAGTGTGAACAAGATCCCTGTTGTCTGTCGAACTGCACTCTGAGGCCCGGGGCAGCTTGTGCTTTTGGGCTTTGTTGCAAAGACTGCAAGTTCATGCCATCAGGGGCACTCTGTAGACATGAGGTCAATGAATGTGATCTTCCAGAGTGGTGCAACGGGACATCCCATCAGTGCCCGGAAGATGGATATGTGCAGGATGGGGTTCCCTGTAGTGACGAGGCCTACTGCTATCAAAAGAGATGTAATAACCATGATGAGCAGTGCAGGGAGATCTTTGGGGAAGGGGCAAAGAGTGCATCTCAGAATTGCTATCAAGAAATCAACTCACAGGGAAACCGTTTTGGCCACTGTGGTATAAATGGCACGACATACCTAAAATGTAATACCGCTGACATCTTTTGTGGGAGAGTTCAGTGTGAAAACGTGGTTGCTATTCCCCATCTGAGAGATCGCTCTGCTTTGCAGCATATTCACCGCAACGGTGTCACCTGCTGGGGTATCGGTTATCATTTAGGGATGGACATACCCGATGTCGGTGAAGTGAAAGATGGCACAATGTGTGGTTCAGGGAAGATCTGCATACACAAGAAGTGTGTCAGTCTCTCTCACCCGTCACAAATCTGCCTGCCTGAGACCTGCAACATGAAGGGGATCTGCAACAATAAACATCACTGCCACTGTGGCTATGGATGGTCCCCACCCTACTGCCTGCACAGAGGCTACGGAGGTAGTGTTGACAGTGGCCCACCATCTGCCAGAAGAGGAGCTTTCTTTCCACTAGTTATGATTCTTAGTTTGTCTGTTTTGATTTTACTGGTGACTACTGTATTCATGTATCTTCAAAAGCATTTTGCTCCCAAGGAGACCGAGGCTCACCCTTCAGATTAAGAAAATGCCTCTAATTTAATATCCTATGCATTATTAAGTTTTAGTTTCTTGGAGGTAGAAATATTGCATGCCTGAAACTGAGCACATTTCTGACAGCTTACGGAAAAATGAAGGAACCTTCCCTTTTGTCAGTATCGGAAACATTGCCGTCAGGCAAAGGTAGTTCCTAACATCTTATTAACTACTGTCCATTGTTGTAAGCAGCAAATAAAGCTCCACTTTCCCTCTGCGTTAGTCCTCTTTGTGTTTCTTGAGCACAGATATGACTCGTAGAAAGGGCAGGAGACCTATGAGGACTCAGGGTGAGCCTTGCCTCTCTTCCTTTACTCCCAAAGTAAATTCTCAAGGGTGCGGAGGATGCATGTCTCGTTGCCAACGTAGTGGATTCCATTTGCCAGCAGCTGGGTACTTATGTGATTTTGATTGGGATTGAGATTTGCAATCATGGAAATGTTTTCCCAATGATAAGCATAGACCAAGTCAAGACAGACTGCAAGTCCATGCCATGAGGAAAATTCTAGAAATCAGGTCAATGAATGTGACCTTCTAGAGGGGCACAATAAGACATCCCATCGGTGCCCAGGAGATGGATATGTGCAGAATTGGAATCCCTACTGCTATCAAAAGAGATGTAATCAAGTTGGGAAAATGGCTTAAATTTTCTAACATTCTGTTCCAAAAGCTAAAAACGAGGATGATAATATTGCTTGCCTCACCCAACCTTTTGGGTTTCTTTGGTAACCGAAAGAGAGAATGAAAGAAATTCTTCTTAAAGTATAAACAAATTGTGGTTTGTTTAATGCAAACTCCTGACTCTGTCTGTCCCCTCTGTGCTCTCTACCCAAGCCCATCTGCTCTCTTTGCCTTAATCTGGCTGTTTGGGTATCCGCACGGAGTACCTTCTTTGAATGCCAGAAAATATTCTCCATGAGGGCAGGGTTCTTTGTATCCACTTTGCTCACTGTTGTGTCTCAATACATAGAACAGTGCCTAATATGCAACAAATATTTGAGTGAAGTAATTAATATAACTGGATTATTAATTGTGTGAAATTTATTAGGAAAGGAAAAAGTAAATCCTTATCCTGTTTGTAAAACTACTGCAGCTCTTGCTCAAAATTGAACACTAAGAATTTAAAATACGTGTATTTATAATGCTCCCTTTGGTACTTGCCCTTCATCAATCTCTTTGTCTGCAACTTGTCTTCTCCTCAGTCTATTCTTAGTGCTTTTGGAAATCCTCTCTTGAAAATACAGATCCAAGCAGATACCCTCTCTATAGGGTCCACATAACTTCTGAATGCCACTCTTTGTAAATGGAGTCAAATGACCTTTTTGCTATTATTTTCCAATATGATTTGCACACTTTGATAACTTTAATGCAATGTGTCTTGATGAAGGCCTTTTTGTGTTGAGATAATTGGGTGTTCTGTTGACTTCTTGAATTCCAAGCTCCAGCTCATTCCTTAGATTTGGGAAATTCTTATCAACTATTTGTCTGAAAATGCTTTCTAATATCTGCTCCTTTTTTGAAATTTTCTTTCACTATTTTTCATTCTTTGATTTCTCTCTTCCTCCTTCTGATTTATTTCTAGATTTTTGTCTTCGTTATCACTGATAATTTCCTCCATTTGGTCAACTCTATTTCCCAAGCTTGCTATTTCATTTTTCAACTCTTGCAGTGTGTTTTTCATCCCCAGAAGTTCTATTTGGTTCCTTTTCAGAGTTTCAATCTCCTCACTCTGCTTATCTAGTTGTTTTTCAATTCCTGAAATTGTTGATATGAGCTGTTTTGGATCTCATTGGTTTTTTTCAGTAGTACCATCCTGAAGTCTTTGTCATTTAAGTTGTGTATATCTATGTCTGTAAGCTTATTTTCTGGAGATTTTTCTCTTTCTTTCTGAGATGCCTTGTCACCTTGGTTGGTCATGGTGTTTAATGGACTGTTTATCCGCCTGGGCATTAATGGAAGTGTATTCTGTTGTTTATCTAGAAAGATGATTTATTAAATAAAAGTCTCTCTTTAGCCTGCTGCAAAGAAGGCGCTTTTCTTTTGGTTTCCAGCAGGTGGCGTCTAAGCCTCCTGTATGCCTGCTTTCTATAAAGCTTAAATGTCTTTTTTATTTTCTTGTAGATATTTAATCACACTTACTATTCTCAGTTTCAGTCCCTGTCAGTTTTAACAACAGTTTCGGTAGTGTTTTCTCAGATTACCCTGGGGCTCCGCTATGTTTGGTCTTGGAGGGTATGGGTGGAGGGGCCCTCTGGGTTGGGAGTTGTGGTGTGCGGCTCAGCCTTGGTTTTGCAACCAGGGCCAGTAAAAATCAACTATTATTTCCCTGTAGTCCTGTCCCGCTTCTCTGCTTTCTGCCCTGATGACTGGGCCCTGCTGCTGGCTACTAGAAGTTCCGGCACTTCCAGGCAGGCTGATCAGAGAAGTCGCCGCACCTTCTTCCCTCCCCCTCCTCCTGCAAGGAGTTCCCGCAGCTGCGAGAGGCAGCTTCTTTATTTCTCCAGTCCACTGCTCGACACCCGGGGTACTAACCCGTGGTAGCTCTTATGTGCAGACCCTGCACTCAGAAGTACTGGTGTGCAGTTTGGTGTTTTTTTGTTGAGTTCAGATGTTCAGCTTATTGTTGTTTCAAAGGGAGAGATCCAGGGATGTCTCTCACTCTGCCATGTTTCCCCAAAATGATTTGCACACTTTGCATCCTCCGGCTATTTTCTGTTTTGAATATACTTGGCTGTATTGTGCACCTGCCCATCTATACATGCAATTCCCATTGTCAAAATGCTGTTCACAGCCCTGCACACCACCCTGCCACCTTCAACCTGCCCTAAAAACTCTAATTTTTTCTCTCAGTAGAGGTTAAACATCATATCTTTATGAAAAGCAAGTGTAGTCAACCTTGCCTTAAAGGTTGAATGCTTTCTTCTGGTCCCTGTGCATCCATAATCACAACACTCTTATCCAT